AGTCCACAGGCCACTCTATCCACTGAGCCAAACCGGTTACGGCTATTCAGTCTATTTAAATGTTAATCTTATTCTGGGCAAGGGGCAAGGGGCAGGGATGGGCTGGAGGGAGTCAATGGGGGGGGAAAAGGGGAACATATATAATACTTTCAATGATAAATATTTTTTAATGTTAATCTTATTCTAAAATACCCCCCCCCCAAATATCCAGAATGTTTTACCAACTGTCTTCCCATGACCCAGGAATGGGGGGGAAAGGGAACATATGTAATACTTTCAATGATAAAGATTTTTTAATGTTAATCTTATTCTAAAATACCCTCCCCCAAACATCCAGAATGTTTTACCAACTGTCTTCCCATGACCCAGTTAACATACAATTAATCATCACATCTACATTTATTGCTTTAAGTATTTTTAAAGAATTTTTTAGTTATATTTCTATGTTCAAATTATTCATTTCTAGATAACTATGAGATATATTCTGCTGTTTGTATGCAGGGGGTAACTTTCCAGTATACTTCCTAGCTGGTTATTGCTGAAATAAAGAAAAACATTTTATTTCCATTTTCATTGTAAGTAATTATTTTTCTGAAGTTACAGAAAGAAGAGAAATATGTATTTTGGGGGAATAATTATTGAGGATGTTTCTAACAGAGTGTGTATGTTAAAAGCCTATGCTAGCATAAGTTGACCCTCCTGTTCCATCGGTGCTAACACAAACTACTATCTAGGCCAGTGGTTCTCAACTTTCTGGCCCTTTAAATACAGTTCCTCATGTTGTGACCCAACCATAAAATTATTTTCGTTGCTACTTCATAACTGTAATGTTGCTACTGTTATGAATCGTAATGTAAATATCTGATATGCAGGATGGTCTTAGGCGACCCCTGTGAAAGGGTCGTTCGACCACCAAAGGGGTCGCGATCCACAGGTTGAGAACCGCTGATCTAGGCGAATGTCTGGATCATAATACATATTCACTAGGAAAATAAGGAAGGCATGGAGACTAGTAAAGATGGGAAATATCACAACAGGCATTACTAAAAATAGCAATTACTTCTAAAAGAAATACTATTTATAGTGAATTACAAATGTTATCGGTGATGTGATCCATGAAAGTATAAAAAAAACTCACTTTTTCAGTATGAGAGTCTTGATAAATGAATTTTGCCATGGTCAAAACAAGTTTAAAAATAAATGGAGTTTTTTTAAGTTCTATTTTTTATTTATTAAATGATTTAATTATATTCTTTCTGAAATACAAATGATAGAATAAATCATACCATGAAAGAAGTTGAGATGATAATATGATGGTGGCCAATTAATACACATAAATTTATTTTTCCTGGATGAACACCAAAGTACTTAAGAGGATTAAGAGATAATTCTTAAGCAGCATTACCTGAAAGACTATTTGGCATTTCAATATTGATTTCCAAAGTGCTAGATGGCAGTCCATGCAAGCATTTGTGGTCACATGCATATAAGTCTTAACAGTTACTGAGGATGAGAAATTGTCACTACTATTACAGTATAGCCTAAAAGATATTCATCCGTTCTAATTGCTCACCTGAAATGACCTTGACCAAAATCTCTAAAAGAGTGGCTTGCATTTTTTCCCTCAGTCGTAACCTGCTTCACTTTATAATCTAGGCAGACAATGCTATTAGGACTGAGTTGGGTGTCATAGTAATAGTGATAATGATAGGAAATAAGTAAAGAGTGTTACAATGTTATAGCAATAGAAAACAAAGGGTGTTATAGGAAATGTAGAAAAATTATTTTTTTGTGTGCAATACTTGTGTAACATATTAGAAAGCACAGGGAATAACCACTCTGGCCAAGCCCTAGCTGCACCATATAGATAAAACCATAGCTGAATGCTACCCTTAGAAATGACATATGTAAACCCGATAGACACCTTCTGAGTGACACTGTAATTGATAACCAGCTTGTACTCTGATTAACACTTGTGTGATAACATGTGTTACTGATAGCCACCTGGACTGCCGTGGGTCAGAACAGCTTAACGGGTCCCTGTCTTCAGACATCGATCATCCTCTCTTGATCCATGCTCCACGCTGCCTTGCTCCATACCAGACGGCAGCAGAACGGCCTAACCTCTTCCCGCTGACTCGACTCAACCAGACGGCCTCGACCCAACCAGATGCCCAGCCACCCAAAGACGGATCTGCTGCTTCCCACAGAGGATGCCACTCTTCCCCGGGGACCCCGTTAAGCCTGAGCCCACGGCACCAGGAACCTTGTGAGTAATGAGGTGTGCTGTGTGATTTGCAACTGCATATTCTTTTCTTTTAAATATATATTTTATTGATTTTTTTTACAGCGAGGAAGGGAGAGGTATAGAGAGTTAGAAACATCGATGAGAGAGAAGCATTGATCAGCTGCCTCCTGCACACCCCCTACTGGGGATGTGCCTGCAACCAAGGTACATGCGCTTGACTGGAATCGAACCTGGGACCCTTCAGTCCCCAGGCCGATGCTCTATCCAGTGAGCCAAACCAGCCAGGGCTGTCTTGGTATTTTTAAATATATTTCATTTTCTGTCCTATGGATTATCCAGAAAAATTTTCATAAGGGAAGTTTAAAGGGAAATAGCTGACAGATGATACAGAGGGAGTGATGGTGTATCATTGTAGTCTCTTTGCTAGCAACTACTTAATGTCTGAACACCTGCACGGTTAAGTTTATCTCAAGGGACGCCTTGGATAACGCCCCATATACTCTACTCGGACAATGGGGCAGGGCATCGTGTTTCTTACACACAAACCATAGACTTTTTCTATTTGGTTCCATCAATGCCAGGCATTGCAGGCCCATGGAGACAAGAGTTCCTCACTGATGATAAGCTTGCTATTTCTAACATCATTGACAACCTTCAAACCTCCCCTGGAGGTATCAGGGCTGGTGTCTGTGTCTGAGGCCAGCTTCTGTGTGGCCGGCATGGATGAAATGTCATGGATAGATGACGACTGAGAAGTGGCATTGCTACTTACTGCTGCACCTGTGCTGAGGGCTGGTCTTTCAGGACATCGTTCTTGCTTCTTCCTTCCAAATCCATTACTTCATTGCAAATTAGCTCTTTCCATTCTTCCATTGCATGTTCTCTTTCTTCCAACTGGGCCTCAAACACTTGAAGCGGTGATGCTTCTGCTTCAGCAGGGTCATACTAAAGTTTTTATGGGATTTAAGTTGTTCGAATAATTAGGCAAGTATTAGTTAAAGATCTTTACTTTGATACGAATGCTTATTCAGGGAATATGGTTAGCATAAAATAAAATGTGGATTTTAGTTACAGAAAGACACAACCAAATCAGACTGTCGAACCTCAGAGGGAAGATGGAGGTGGGTGGGAAGAGATCAACCAAAGAAGTTGTATGCATATATGCATAACCCATGGACACAGACAATAGAGTGCTAAAGGCCTGCGGCAGGAGGCAGGAGTGGGCTAGAGGGACTCAATGTAATACTTTCAACAATAAAGATTAAAAAAAGAAAAAGGAGAAACTAGGCCACCAACTTACACCATACACAAAAATAAACTCAAAATGGATAAAGGACTTAAATGTAAGACAGGAAACCATAAAAATACTAGAGGAATCCAAAGGCAACAAAATCTCAGACATATGCCAAAGCAATTTCTTCACTGATACAGCTCCTAGGGCATTGGAAACTAAAGAGAAAATAAACAAATGGGACTACATCAAAATAAAAAGCTTTTGTACAGCAAAAGAAACCAACAAAACAACAAGAACCCCCACTGTATGGGAGAACATATTTGCCAATGTTATCTCTGATAAGGGTTTAATCTCCAACATTTATAGGGAACTCTTACAACTTAACAAAAGGAAGATAAACAATCCAATCAAAAAATGGGCAAAGGACCTAAATAGACACTTTTCAAAAGAGGACATTCAGAAAGCCAAGAGACATATGAAAACATGCTCAAAGTCACTAATCATCCGAGAGATGCAAATCAAAACAACAATGAGGTACCATCTCACACCTGTCAGAATGGCTATCATCAACAAATCAACAAACGACAAGTGCTGGAGAGGATGTGGAGAAAAAGGAACACTCGTGCACTGCTGGTGGGAATGCAGACTGGTGCAGCCACTATGGAAGACAGTATGGAGTTTCCTCAAAAAACAAAACATGGAACTCCCATTTGACCCTGTGATCCCACTTCTAGGAATATATCCCAAGAAACCAAAAACACCAATCAGAAAGGATATATGCACCCATATGTTCATAGCAGCACAATTCACCATAGCTAAGATCTGGAAACAGCCTAAGTGCCCATCAGTAGATGAATGGATTAGAAAACTGTGGTACATCTACACGATGGAATACTATGCTGCTGTAAAAAAGAAGGAACTCTTACCATTTGCAACAGCATGGATGGAACTGGAGAGCATTATGCTAAGTGAAATAAGCCAGTCAATGAAGGAAAAATACCACATGATCTCACACATTCATGGATAATAGAGACCATTACAAACTTTTGAACAATAATAGATACAGAGGCAGAGCTGCCTCAAACAGATTGTCAAACTGCAGCGGGAAGGCCAGAGAGGGTTGGGGGGCAGAAGGGAGGGGAGTAAGAGATCAACCGAAGGACTTATATGCATGCATATAAGCATAACCAATGGACATGGTGAGGGCATGAGCAGGGGGGGAGGGGGGGAAGGACACATATGTAATATCTTAATCAATAAAAAATATATTAAAAAAAAGAAAAAAGAAAGACACAGTCAATTGTTTGCTAACAAGTTTCATTGTGAATATATGTTATTGATGAAATCGTGTTGTAGTCCATTTCAGCCAAGATCAAATGAGGGAATTAAATTACCCTGAAACAGAATTTAGATTGGTAGAAGGATAACCCGCATTCAAAGGGCTACTTTGTAATATATTCAGGGTATCTAGCCATGTCTTCAGAACAGGGATAAGCAGACTTTTTTGTGACCTGTCAGAGAGTAAATATTTCAGGTTCTGTGGGCCAGAGTCTCTTCAGAGTTTCTCAGCTCTGACTTTGTAGTGTGAAAGCAGCCAGAGACCGTAGTAAACAAACTGGCATGGCTGTGCTGCAACAAGACTTCCTTCACAAAAACAGGCAGCAGGGAGGCAGGGTTTGGCCCAGGGGTTGCAATGTGCCGACGATGCTTTAAAAGATTAGAAGCAGAGACTGTAAAATCATTCCATGGAGAGACATTTTTGGGGAGTTCTGTTTTGGCAGCTCTCAAAATATGGTGAGAACTCAGGGGTTCAGTACCACTGAAACAGGAATTTTAGGGGTAAAATATAGGACAGGTTTAGGAAATTTTAGAAATTTTGGAAATTAGGGGGACCATGGAGGAAGCACAGGGCTGCAGAGCAGCAGAAGGTATATTTCCATAGAATAGGGGAAGCTGAGGAGCTGCAACAGGTACATTTCCATAGAATGAGGGAGCTGGGAACAGCAAAGGGTCTATATTTACAATATAAAGAGAAGGAAGCCCTTGCTCCGGAAGGAGAAGAAGAAAGCCCAAAGGGAATAGGAAAACTATAAGGAAGGAGGGGGGAGAACCTCACATGTCCCATGTGAGGTTCAACCTTTGAGCCCAGGAGTTTCTAAGGGAATAGTGACCAATCAGAGGGGATATCAAGACACCAGGATCTGCAGCCTTTATAAGCCGTAGGGAAAAGGAACTCAGTGGGACCCTTTTCCCCTCCCTACCTGGCAGTCCGTTCTGTGGGACTCTTTCCCTCTCCCCCATGTGGGAGTCTGTACTTGTTCTTCACTAAATCTCCACCTTTGCTATACCACTTTCTGTCTGTGGATTCATTCTTCAATTTCGGCAGACAAAGAATCCGGGTTCCAGTCCAAAAATTCCATTTCACCACCAAGCTCTCCATTCCATGTGATCTTCGGAGTGTCCTGATGGACAGATGCACCCTTCAGGCTTCAGAGGTATTACCCTAAAAGGGTTTTTATGGTAGTTGAGCCACATTACTGATAAAAGTTAACTCTTCTGATGGAATTGTTTTTTATTTAAATATATTAATGTATTTATTGGTATATTTTTATTTAAATATATAAATATATTAAAGCTTGTTTTCATTACACTAAATCAAATAGATTCATATATTGGCCTGCCTCTCCTCACCCTTTTGTAAGAGAAATTGCATCACCTTTATCTTTTGTTAATTAAGCAGCTATACAAATACTCCTCAACTTACAATGAGGTTATGTCTTGACAAACCCATCATAAGTTGAAAATATCATAAGTTAAAAAATGCATTTAATACACCTAACCTACCAAACATCACAGCTTAACCTAACCTACCATCTATGTGGTTAGAACACTTACATTATTAACCTACAGTTGGAAAAATCATCATGAGTAAGTGAGAAAGTGTCATATTGCATATCACTCGCCCTGCCAAAGATCAAAATTCAAGTTCGATATACGGGTTCTACTGAATGCTTATCACTTTCGCACCATCATAACCTTGAAAAAGTCTTCAGTCATTTTCTGTCCTAATGTTGCCCTCACTTGCAGGGTCAGGGAACAGTGCTTTATGCCAGGGAAGCCCAGTCGGGGCTGGCCACTATGCTATGATGGACTTATGTGCTGAGACAGACCAGGAGGTGCCCCTGGAAAGCGTCCAGGGGTCACTCAGGTACTGTGAGAGGCTGAAGGAAGCCGATGTAACAGGTCGTTCACTTTCTGCAGCTTAGAGGCCCTCCTTTAAAATAAGCAAGTGCCCAAAGACAAAAGACAAAAGACCCTCAGCTTAGTATGGAACACAGTTGGGAGTGGTGGCAACCTGGACAGCACAGGCTCTGTCTAGGGGGGCTATATAGTTACTCAGCTCCAAGTCATTTTTTTTCTGTGAAAGAAAAAAAAAAGACTCCTAGTGTTGCCAGAATCTCTATTTTTTCCAAGAGGTCACAGAAATTAGGATTTTTTTATTATTATTTTTGGTGGGGAGGGTATAAGTTTTCTAATTTTTAAATTTTGGGAGTTAATTAATTTAAAAATTTTTTTTTTATTGATTTTAGAGCAGAAGGGAGAGGGATAGAAACATCAATAGGATAGAAACATCATTGATTAGCTGCCTCCTGCACACCCCCTACTAGGGATTGAGCTCACAATTTATGAATATGCCCTGACCGGGAATCAAACCAGTGACCTCTTGGTTCATGGGTCGACACTCAGCCACTCAGCAACACCGGGCAGGCAGGAGTTAATTTTTGAA